TGGCGCCAACTGGCGCCATTTTCCGTGGAAGCTTTTCCGACTTGTCTATTCGAATAGAGGCGTGGCGCGAAGTGGCGCCAAACCGGCGCCAACTGGCGCCGGTTTGCGGGAAAGTAGTACCGTGTTTTCTGAAGGGCAATTTTGAAAGAAAGAAGCGAGGCTTATAAATAGGATCCTCGTTACAGAATTAAAAATCTAGACATATTCTATTGAAGTGAGACGACGGCGGTGCTCCGAGGGGATTCTGGAGATCAAGTTTATCTTCTTCTTCTTCGTTTAATTTATCAGGTTTATGTTGAATATTGAATATTTAGCCATGATAATGGTTGGCTAGTTTATTTTTATTGTAGTTAGGGTCACAAACCCTATGTGAACCCTTGTTACGACGGATTTATTTATAATTGCTCGTTTATATAAATTATCTTTATCTTTACCTTATGCGTAATTATATTCTCTTTATTGGAATTGATGAATCTAGTAGTTGAGGATAGTTTGGGGGTTAGAACCCTAGATAGGAATATTGGGGTTTTGGTCATGAAAGGGGGTAAGATAACAATTTATATGCATGCTAGGAATAGATGTATATGTAATTGCAGATGCTTAAATTATTGAGTTTATTGCTTAATTCCATGAGAAACATTGCAAGGAATTGGGGTTTCAATTGAGATTAAAGGGTTAACCTTGCAAGGAAATGAGGGTTGACTATTAATGTTTTTAGATAATAATTTATCTGAGTAATTATATAAATGAATATTGTAAATCAATCCAAAGTAAGAAGTGAGGATCATATGATGAGTGTACTCTAGCTACAATGCTTTTCTCTTATTCACAAAAATCAATCTTCGTTCTTATTTTTATTCTTCAATATAAAAATTCAAAAACAAGTCTTTATTTTCAGTTCTCATTTTACACAAATCGACAATATTTGTCACAAACTCTTTGAACTCCTCTATTCTTGAAAGGACTATTAATTGATAAAACGATCACAATCCCTGTGGAGACGAACTTTTCTTATCATTATATTACTTGTGCGATCGGTATACTTGCCGGGAAGCATCAACCTTGCTGGATGATCATGGAGACAGTGTTAAAGCATTAAAAGTCCATTCCTTTTGCTATCTTGAAGCTTATGAGTATATGCCTCAACACTGTCCTTTGCGTTTTCATGAATATAACATGAATTGAAGATGTAAAATTATGAGTTTTGATAATTTGTACGTTGGTTGATGAACCTAAGTATTAAAATGCATGCTAAGTCGATGGGATAGATGTATCTAGGTAAAAGATGGAATTTTAAATGGATAATTTCGTGCTAGGCTGCTGTTTTTGGCCTCTGTCGCGAAATATCCGAATATGGCATATCCGAATATTGAGACAGCAACGAACCTGTTTCGGTAAAAATTCAATTTCTTGAAATATAGAGCTCCAAATAGAGTTCCGTTTGGACCTATATGTAGATAACACATAGAGCTACAACTCTGTAAAATTTTGTAGTTATTGGATAAGTGGTTTGATCTCAGTGTTAGTTTGAAGTCACATCTTGGTTGCTGGAAATTCAGTTTGCAGCATTCACTTTGCAAAAATTATAATCAGAGTTATACAACTCCGATTGAGACATAAAATACGTCGTTGGAAATATTGTGATGTCTAGTTTAACATATTAAAATATCAGAATTTTTGGTAAAGAGTTGCAACTGCAATTTTAAAAATGGTAAGCGAAGTTTGTTGTCATATTCGTAAATAGAGTTGAATTCTTTGGAATGTTCTTCAAGGAAATGAACTATAGACTCTATGGTAATTGTAAGTGATGTTCTAAGGTTAAGGCCTTAGGGAGTGGACTTAGTTCCTCCCACCTTGAGTTGGTGTCAATACGTAAAGAATGACTACGTAAAAGATAATATATAAAAAAATGTAGTAAATGAGTATATTTATTAATTTTCTTTATATCTTGAAATAGGTTGTGATTTTGTGAGGCCTATGATTGTGGTCCTTTGGATAGTGAGAGTTCATATGAGCATGTTTTGGATAAGGTAAGCTTTTGGTCCTCGGATTGATCTGTTGCTTGTTCCGCCGACCTCCATGGGAGGGTGGTTTATATGCATAGTATGCTTTTTATTAAAATGATATATGCATTGATATATGCCTGAGATATGTGAATATATTTGTTGATTCCTTACACGATCAGGCTGCATTCCTGGTGTGTGAGGCAGTTGATGTAATGTATGGATGTGATGTTGATTACTTACACGATCAGGCTGCGACCCTTATGTTTAGATAGGTCGCAGACGTGCATAAACCTATCATGTTCACTGGCCAGTCGAACCGTACTTGCATACATCACATGAGATATGAACTGTTGTACACGATTTACTGAGAATTTAGATCTATATTATCTCGATTATATTGCTTTAACATGAACATGCATTGTATTTAGTGTTTTGAACTTATTATATACTTGTAATTGAGCTTGAGGCGGAAGAGTTCTTGAGGACCCCTTGTCTTACTGAGATTTCTTGTTAAAGATCTCACCCTGTGTTAGGGTACATTTTCAGGTACTGAGATTGTTGATGTTGGTGCATCTCGAGGCAAAAGGCCGGAGTCGAGTTGTTGGCATGATATGCATGTATTATGATTATGAAATATTTTGTAGCTGAGGCATGCTTAATTTTGACAGTATTTATTATGTGCATTTGATGTGAGCATAGGGATTGTCTATGCCATATTGTAATATGCATGATGTATTGTTGTTGAGAATTATGTATTAATCATGTTTGTCCTTATTTTTGTAATATGATTTACATGTGAGATGGCCTAAGTAAAGGATTGTTAGGTGTCACCGCTCATGCATGTAATAGTTGTTTAAAAACCATGAAATATGACAACTTAGATGCCTAGAAAGATATGAAATAGCTTAATTAAACTGATTACATGATGGTATATCTTAGGTAAGGACAACTAAGCATAAGATGAAGTAATATGGGGCAAGGGGGTTAATTGCTAAACCCTAGCCTGTAGAGAAAGATATTCCATTTCGCCATTGTCATGGAATATCCGGATATGGGTGATCTAATATCCGAATATTGATATCCGGATATGATATCCGGATATGGCATATCCGAATATGTCCCCGACAAATATCCGGATATTCTGGACGAACAGAAGTACAAATTAATGTTTAAAAAGAAAGGCTTGTGACCTTATGAAACTTAAATATGTAAGGCTTAAATCCACTTCTAAGGAGTGTGGTGCCTTAATAAATGTGAATAAAATGGCAAGTAGCTATAATAATATTTTAGATGTGAACGGATGTCTTAGGGTGTGTCTTTATTACTATGTCATGGTTGACTAGATAATAGAAGAATTTGATAATTATGTGCATGGTTAAGTATGACAATAAAGTAATTAGTGGATAATTTTGATATCAACGGACATTGCAAGTAAATAATTAACAATGATTATGATAATAGGTAAGTGTAAGATTAATCATGCAGATTGTAACACGTAGGATAAAGGAAAAATTTTATCCGCATTTTTCACTTAGTAATTCTAACGTTAATTCTGCTGCAAGTAATTCCACTAACAAACCGGGTATACACGGGGTGTTACAGGGTGGTTCTTTGATATAGTATGTTAAGAATGATTTGTTACATGTTGCATGTATATGTATGTATATTTGTGTGCCACACAAGACAATGTTTACTTGTGTGAAGCATAAGACGGTGTTTCCTTATGCATAGTTTGAGACGATGTTTCCTCATACGGCATATTGCAAGATGATGTTTCCTTGCGTAATGCATAGTACTTGTTATATTCTCTGGGCAGTAGGATTTATTATTTGCACACTACATTATCATATATATTCTGATTCATGCATAGATTTTTATACTTGTGATTATACCAGAAGTGAGCTTAGGGGTGGAGGAGCCCTCCAAGGGTCCCTAGCTTACTGAGGTAATTTCTATTATCTCACCCTACGTTACAGGAAATTACCATTTCAGGTACAAGAGCTGATGATGCTGAGGCATCGCGTGGAAATGGGTCAAACGAGAGATATTACTTGACCTGATAGTCAGGATTAGCGTGTTATTTTGATAAGTACTTGACAAGGTCCTATTTTAGATATGTATATATACCATGTTATTCTTTTGGAGAGCATAGGGAATGTCTATGCCATGTCGATAGTCTGCATATGTTGTTGTGATGCATGCTCAGGTTTTTGTTACTTATTTAATTGCATCTCTTTTGTTTATTTGAGGTAAGGAGATCATATTACTATGAGATAGCCTAGGCCGTGGATGGCTAGACAAGATGTTTACTCATTTTGTGGCATGCTTAGTATATTGATAAATTATTAATCAGGTGAAAATTTCTAGGATGAGAATTAATCCCAATAGTCCGAAAAACAGACGGAATGTCGTTTGCGAAATGTAAAAAGAGTAGATATGGTGGTAATACGTAAGGTAAAAGGAAAAAGTTAACCACAAGTTTATGCATTTAATAAGTTAAAATGTGTTGCACTTAATATCATATGAATATTAATTAACCGGCTACAGACGTGGTGTTGCGTCTACTTTATTGGTTAAATTAATATTAACTTGAAATTTTGACTGTGTTGGCTAAACTCATCTGATATTGTAACGGAGAAGAGAGAAAATCATAAAAAGAATAATAAGAGACATTCCAAATGAAAAGATTTGGAACATTTGCCGATATAAATTAAAGAAAAAATATTTAAAATTATAATAAAATTATTTTTGAAAGTTTATATTAATTATTAAACATTTTATGATGGAAATGTCATAGGTTCGAATACAGGAAACAACTTCTTAAGGCTGCGTACAAGGATTTTCTTCATCCCACACTAGTTGGGTTTTCGCTAGTAGGGTTTAACGAGGAGTGACTTTATATTATTTATTAAACATTAGATGATCAAGTATAGACCATCTTACAAAGGAAAACCTAGCTACTTTTGGTGCTGATGAGAAAGAAAAGGATTCAAATTACAATGAAAGACATGAAACATGTGGATTACACAAAAAGCTTGTCCCATGTGCATTATTGCAGGATGCATATATTTTCTCTCCAATTGCGGAGGTTATGTTAATATTGTCCAATACAATGTTGGTGCAGCTAACGGTATTGTCACAATTCAGTTGAATTACTTCCTCACAACTTGAAGTTCCCCTCATGTTGCGGTAAGTTACATCACTCACTTTCACTGCTGCTTCTGTAACATCATTAGGGTCATAATTCTGATCAATAATCACAGGATTCTTTGCTGACACAAGTATTATATCTTCAAATGTGATCTTCCTAGCATATCCTGATCCTCCCTGATTTATAGAAATCACAAAAATATTATTAATTGTGTGATTTAATCACATGTTTCAGTCACATTTATTAGCTAGAATCAATCCTCACCTTCCATGTCTTGATTCTGGCTCCATTTGTGGTTCCATTGAAAGTGCAATTTCTCACATATACCTCATCTACTGTGTTATAAGCTCCATTTTTTCCGAGGCTCCCAACACTAGAGTTAATTTCAATGTTTTTTTTTTGGAATAAAGTTAATTTCAATGTTGATCTAGCTAACAACTTAATATATAACATATATAATGTATGGAAACTCAAGAAATTCACTTCAACTGATTAACAATTAATTAACCTGATGCCATGGCCAGGTCCACAATAAAGACCAGTTACGTTGATGAAGCTAGACCCAGAGTTGATGGCAATGCAGTCGTCACCTATAATTAAGGAAAATAGCTTTTAACTTAATGATCAACTGCATATATATATATATATAGTAATAAAGGAATTTTAGAATTGGAGACTCTTATATATGTGTTACCAGTTTCCACCACAGAGTTCTCAATGACGATGTTGGTTGATGATGCGATATCGAACCCATCGGTGTTTGGACTATCCTCTGGAGCAGAAATATAAAGATTGGAGATATATGCGCCATTGCATGTATCTATGCTTATATGATTTCTCGGGCTGTTGATGTGAGTCAACGAGCTGAGTCTTAGATTTTCACAATTACCGAATCGAAGAGCCTGCATGCATGCGCGTATATATGTTATCATGCAATTATATATGTATATATACTTAATTCCAATGAGAAATGGATATCAAAATATTGGGTGGTCAATCATTTTTTTATTGAGATAGGATATTATGCCTATTTTTTTTCCATGACTATTCTACTTATTTCTTGATCTAAGGTGTTGAAGACAGTGGCAGATTCAGGAAATTAATGAAGGGTGGGTACTCAATAAGTTCAAGTACATATACATCTGGTTTGGTTTGGAACGCGACTTGTGAGCAGCTACCGGCTGGCTGGCTCTGGTTTAGATCTAGATCTGGACGGATAGCGACTCAACTAGACCGATGATGGAGGAAGAAGCAAATGTTTCAACTTCCAATAACTATGATCGAGGTTTGAGAGGAAATGAATCAGTATACAGATGCAAACGATGAGTTTGGAATAGAGTTCTCTGTTGTTAGGTTTGGATAATGGAGGTGGAGAAGAAAAAAAGTTCACGGGAAAATAAAATAGAAGGAGAAAAATTAAATTGGAGAAACTTGAATTTAAGATAAGGGTATTTTCGTATTTTTACATCAGATTTTAAGAGTGGGCACTTGTCCCCCTTCTCATATACGTGGATCTGCCTCTAGTTGAAGGATACTAAGTATAATAGTTATGAAAAAAAAGTAGACGTAGTTTCTTATCCTATTTTTATTTGCCATATTCATTTCGGATTTTTAGTTTTAGTTTTTTTTTTTTTTTTTAAATTAGTTTTAGTTTTTGGTACACAAATTCATTTTGGATTTAATAAGAAAGAAGAGTACGTAGTGTATATATGTATATGATGTTTTTCAACTTACAGTTGGCCTGTCATAATCATTATGGGAATTGTAGTCGTTCCACCATGCAGCACCTTGGCCATCAACAAGTCCTTGTCCATTGATAACAAGGCCAGTTATGCCCTCGAACTGCACCCATGCACTCCTATCATTTTGTGCCCATTCCCAAGCCTCAACGTTTTTTGGGGCAATTATAGTTCCCTCAAGCTGCCAAACCAAAAATAATACATATTGAACATTGTAATCAATCGAAATAAATAGAGAGGGTAATAGATGGAGCAATTAAATGGTTATGACTTTAATATAAATGAGAATAGATATATGATTAATGACTTTAATTTTCTATAACGTTAGCTGAATTAAAGGCTTATACATATAGCCTTATTCATGCACACAAACAAAAATGCACTTAGGATTAATTACCTGAACGTTAACGGTTGCAGATTTGCAAGGACCCTGGAACGACACGGGTTGCAACATGAATGTTTTCCCTTTGGGTATGAGTAGTGTTGGGGTGCCCTCAATTGCACCACACGTGTCTTCCCACGCTTTTACAAAAGCCTTAACAAGTTGTCAAATAGTTTAAAATGATATTAACTTTGAGAAATTGAGTCTCACAATATCTATGTGTATATAAAGTATAAATTAACATAATTATATGAAAAAAAAATATTAAACTAGAAAAAACATACAGGAGAATCATCGGTTAGGCCATCTCCCGTGGCACCATAGGTAACAACATTGAATGGAGAAACTACTCGATCAAGCATTATTCTAGCACACAAGCTAGGCAAATCAAAAATAAACATTAAAAGGACAGCAAATAGGCCTTTCATCTTTAAGAATAAAAACCACTTAGATACTACTATATGCACTGATCAAATCTAACACTAGGAGCGCTATAATGCACTTATGAAATGAAAAGTGGAGAAGGAACACAATTTATTGATTTTAGATGGAGGAAAATTATAGTTAGAAATGATGATCTTGATTTCTTTCCTCTTTTTTTTTTTTTTTTTTGAAATCAGATCTTGATTTCTTTCTATACTATGAATAAGAGATTCAATCTCAAACAGAAAATATTCATTTTTTTTGCTTAACAAAGAATTTGCAAACCATGTGCAATATTTCAGCCAAGTGCAATGTAAAAATAAAGTTTTTTTCTTGTATACAATATGATATGATAAGAGATTCAATTTCAAAAATAAAACATTTATCTTCTTGCTAAACAAAGAATTTGCTAACTATGTATAATATTTCAGCCAAAATTTCATGTCCCTTTCTGTAAGTGTATAATTGTAAAAATATTTTTTCTTTTATAGAAAATAACACGATGAATAAGAGATTCAATCTTAAAAACTAAACGTTCATCTTTTTGCCTAATAAAGAGTTTGCTAACTATGTGCAACATTTCAGCCAATAATTTATGTCCCTTTCAATAAGTGTATTGTAAAACTAAAGTTTTTTCGTTTATAGAAAAAAATATGATGAATAAGAGATTCAATCTTAAAAACAAAGCGTCCATCTTTTTGCCTAACAAAGAATTTGCTAACTATGGGCAATATTTCAGCGAATAATTTATGCCTCTTTTTATGTGTATTGTAAAAATAGTTTTTTTTTTTTTGTAGAAAATAATACGATTCACTAATTCATGATTCAATGTACAAAGTAAAACAAATCATATGTCAATAGTAAATTTGTTATTTTTTTACCAAAAAATGTATTTATGCTATAAATATACAAAATTATTAGTGATTTAATGTTAATGAGATAGAAATGAATGCAAGATATTCTTAAGTATGGTAAAAAATACTAATCGAAAGTTTTAAGTTTATTCCATATACTTTAGCTGGCAATACTCATCCCTATCTTTGTCTTTTTTCGCCGAACAAGGAATTTGCTAATTATGGGAAATATTTTAGCCACTGATTAATGTATGTTCTTTTCCAATATGTGTATTGAAAAATATATGTTTTTCTTTTATATAAAACAATATGATTCACTTAAAAAAAACAAAGAGCAAATCATTTCTCAATTGTAAATTTGTTCTTTTCCTACCAAAAAAATATAATTATGCTAAACAAGTGAAGCATGATTCAAGAAAATAAAATGAATATATAACTAGAAAAAAAATATTAATTTCAATGACATAGAAATGAATGCATGTTGGAGAAGGACCTCGGTTCAATTTCTATCAATTTCATTTTGGGAGGGATATAAAACTTTAATCCTTAATCCGACTCGCACTTGGGATTAGTGTCATAATCTGCTCAAAGAGATGAAGCTTGTGAAGATACCCGAAAGAACCTACTCGCTTCAAAAAGGTAATTAAGGTTGGTACAAAAAGAGAGAGTAATGAATGCATGTTATTTTAAAGTATGGTTAAAAAATTAATTCAAAATCTTAAGTTTATTCGATATGGATTAGAAGACAATACCAAACACATCCTTGTATTCATATTTTTGCCAAACTAAGAATTCGCTAATAATGGGCAATATCTCAACCCATATTTATGTCCTTTTTTACATGTGTATTCTAAAAATGAAAATTACGCTATAAAATATTGAAAATAACATTATTGACGCTTTAAAATGTTTATGCGGATGATTATTTGATTTTTTTTATGACTTTTGATGTACCTTATATTACATTACTGGTGAGTTGAAGTGTAACTCATGACTTTTAATTTTTGATGTACCTTGTAACCACCACGTGAGTTGAAATTTAATTATTGACTATTTAATTTTTTTATGACTTTTAATGTAATCACTAACCAATGTTTCCTGACACTATTTACCTTGTAACCGTTTTTTAGAAGAAAAAAATTTATTTTATAACATATTCTATTTTTATTTAGAGAATGAGAATTACGTTTGATAACACAACAAATAATAGAATAAAATAAAAAATTATTCTTATTAAGCATAAAAAAAAATTTAGATCATCATTTTCCTTTTCATATGATGTGGTGGTGGTTTTGGCACGGAGATGGTGATGGTAATGGTGGCGGTTGTAGTAGTGACGGCATTGTGGTGGTGGTGACAGCAATGACTGCAATGGTGGTGATGGTGGTGGTTGGTGACGGTGGTGGTGGTGTGATGGTGATGGTGATGGTTGGTCTTTCAACTGATTTAAAAGGTAATTTCGAAAATTTTGATTCAACACATACTTGGCACTTATTATTTAAACATTCAAATTTAGGTAATAAATCTAAATGTATTAAACTCTTAATGGACTTTAGATTAACATATCCTAATCTACTATGCCATAAATTAGAAGACTCAAGCAAGTAGACAGAAGTAGTAGTATTATTAATAATATTGGAGTTGTTTACAGTCATCACATTCAGTTTGAAAAGGCCCCCACTAAGGTAGCCCTTTCCTACATACACATCATTCTTAGTAAGTACAAACTTATCAGAAACAAATACAAGTTTAAAGTCATTCTTGCTTAACAGAGATCCAGAGACTAAGTTCTTGCGAATATCAGGCACATGGAGCACATCATTCAGTGTCACTATCTTGCCAGATGTCATTTTCAAAGCCACTTTGCCCACTCCTTCAACTTTTGAAGTAGATGAATTACCCATATAAAGTTTCTCATCATTATCAGTAGGAGTATAGGAGGAGAACATCCCCTTGTTTGAACAGACATGTCTGGTGGCACCAGTGTCCACCCACCATTCGTTGGAGTCTCCCATCAGATTGCACTCCATCACCACTGCTGCCAGATTCAGTTCTTCAACCTGATCAGCAATATCAACCATATTGGCTTGAGTGCTCTTCTTCTTCTTATTGAACTTTTGTGGCTTCCTCTTATCTTTCCTTTGTTCCTTCTTACAATCCTTTGCACGGTGGCCAGGATTCCCACAATTGAAACAGTTGCCTTTGAACTTTTTGCCCTTTCCTTGCTTAGCATTTCCATCTTCAGAATATTTCCTCTTCTTTGACTTTGATCCCTCTTCAACTACATTAGCTTTGGAGATCATAGGATTGTTGCCATTCCTCTTGTCAGACATCTTATTGTCTTCTTTTATTCTCAATCTGGTAACCAGATCTTCAAGTGTCAATTCCTTGCGCTTATGCTTCAGATAATTCTTGAAGTCTCTCCAAGAGTTTGGTAATTTCTCTATGAAAGCAGCAACTTGAAAAGACTCACTAAGAGACATTCCTTCTGCATGAATTTCATGCACAATCACTTGAAGTTCCTCAACTTGACTCACAACAGATTTGGAGTCTACCATCTTGAAGTCCAAGAATCTGTCAACTATGAATTTTTTCAAGGCAGCATCCTCAGTTTTATACTTCTTGTCCAGACTTTCCCAAAGTTCCTTACTAGTCTTCAGGGTACAGTACACATTATACAGTGAGTTGTCTAGAGCATTGAGAATATAGTTCCTGCAAAGGAAGTCAGAATGCTTAAAAGCATCAATGGCAGCAACATTTTCCTTGTCAGACTCTTCTCCCTCATTCAGTTTAGAAGCATCTTCCTTGAGGAAACGGTCTAGACTCAGAGTTGTCAAATAGAACAACATCTTCTGTTGCCAGCGTTTGAAATTTGTTCCATTCAGTTTTTCAGGCTTGTCAGCATGCATTGGAACAGAGGCAGTAACATTGGCATTGCTAGTACTTACATTAGCCATTTCTGTTACACAAACAGAATCCGAAATTAATCACACAGATTAATTTATCACACAGATTAATAACCCTGATTAATCACACAGTAAATAAAACAGAAACATTATATGTAACGAAAAATAAATACTGATCACAGGTTCAAAAACACCAAATTGTCTTAAGATTGTTATGGAAGACAGTGGGTGATATTATATCACTAAAAACGTTGAACCCATGTATACAAGCAGAGGAGGAAGATGATCAGAATTATCACTGTGCAATTATAAATATTAGATTAAAGAATAGACTTACTTGTCAGTGGCAGAATGATGAAACAGACAGAATGAAAGGATGAATATATGCAGTATCAGAGGAATTAAATCCGAGCCCACAGAACGTGTCTCCTTAAGACAATTTGCCCCCTCACTGATGCCTAAGGTTGATGGACACTTGTCTCCCATGATAGAACAGATTTCGTCTGAAGAATGGTGGCACTACCAATCAACAGCCCAAACGAACACAACAATATGCCAGAGGAAGTCACACCGGAGGATGAACAACAGTATGCAAAATCGGAAGAAGAAAAATTCCGGCAGAGTTTAAGTGCAAAAAAAACTGGATAGATTTCTGAAGGTGTCAGTGTCTATTTATAGACACTGACCGGTCACGATGAACAGTCGCCGGCGGCGAACTGCCGTGTCTGATGGCGGTGAACGGGTGCGACCGGTGACTGTTCCGACGAACAGATACGACTGGTGACCGGTTCAGCGAGCAGACACAACCGGTGACTGGTTCACGAAGGGAAAGAACCGGTTCGGTTCAATACTGCTCAAAAATCCGGCGGGTAGAAACGTTTTGGTTGGAGGGAAGCAACGGTAAATTTTTTGGACAAAATATTAAAAAATTATTTTTTATTACACACTATGAACCGAACCGAACCGATCCGAGCCGGACGGACGGCGGCGGCGCGCGCGCGTGTGGTGAACCAATGCTCACCTAGCTCTTCCCCCTACATAAAACATGTAGTGACCCAAGGGCCAATCTAAGAGAGGGAAGTGGGAGCTTATATACTCTCCCATTTCCTACTAATTGTCCAATGTGGGACTTGTTGAAACCCACACACCTCTTCATCTTCCTTTTTTTCTCTTTTCTTTATTAACTCACTTCTTATTCATAACCAATGGATCATTGTACATTAATTCATTCATTAATTCCAACAG